CATTTGTTTCTTCTGCAACAAGCCTAGCTATGAGATTTTGAGTTTCTAAGTCAACTGTATCTAGTGGGACGTAGTTCGGATCAAACGTCTGATCTTCTGAGTCGCCTCTCGATCCCATGTTCTCTCTCTTAGGTTTTGTGGTTCTGGTAGGCTAGGTTCTGGTGTTTATTTTTTGGCCTCTCTCTCTCACGTCTTGCGGTTTTACTAAAACCGTTTTGGTTAATAGGACTTCCTAAATTTTGTTAAAATTCTAATTAAAAAATTGTTAATATTGTTTTTTAAGTATTTGAAAATTTTATGCAAGTACACATCCAAATTAAAACTTTAAATGTGTCATCAGTACATGTATTCACGGAAATCTAACTAGCCTACCGATAACCTACGCAGTGCAACCAAATTAAAACCCTAAGCTATGTTCCAGATATTAAGTTACTCACCTTAGTTCTTTAAAGCTGCGATGAACTTAGAGCTTCAGTTGTTTTAACTTGATGCTCCACTGATCCTGCTTGCTTGTTCACGATCACTCCATCATCTCATGCAAAAAAATATATAAATAAAAACTACATAAGTCAAGACAAATAGCTAACCGAAACAGAGACATCAAATTATGCAGCTATAAAACAAACAGCACAATCACAAAGTCAATGAGTTCAGTCTTGTCTTAACTTCGCACTGAGTTCAGCCGCCGAGCCTGTGAACAGTCACCCTTGAGTCCTTAGAATGGTTTTTAACAAGCTCAGAGGCTTGAACTCACTGATCTAGTAAAGACAAGTAATGCAACTCATGTAACACTCAATTCAAGAAATCATATACAAATAAATTTAACAAATTTAGCATAGACATATCAATCTAGTTTATACAAACAAACAACAAATAACCGAGTAACTAATACTTATTTAGGTAACATTCTGAAAAATATATATAATACTACTCTATAATGTTAATTAATTATATACATTTATTAAACGTTTATACTACTCTATAATATTAATAAAATATGAATTAATTATCTAAATTATTAAACATTTATAAATTAATCTATAATATTTAATTATATAAAATTATTAAACCTTTATAAATTAATTTATAATATTAACTAATTATCTAAAATTATTAAACTTTTATAAATTATTCTATAATATTAACTAATTAAAGAAAAATAATATTATTCTTAACTTCTTAAGGATACAACTGCAGTCGGAGGAATCGCCGGATGAATCGCCGGCGAAGAAGAGAAACGAAGTAGAAGGACTCCTCACCGGAGGTAACTTGAATGGAAGCTCCGACTGAAGAACATGCAAGGACAAAATTAAAGTTAGACGTCAACAACATTGAGAAAATAAATACAAATAACATGCAGGAACATACAAAGACAAAAATAAATAAATCGACATCAACCACAAAGAGAACCGAATCATACCTTCAGAGGAGGCCACATGTCGTCGGCGAGCCGAGTCATCATCGGAGCTCCTGAAGTCAACACCCATCGTAAAGAAATCGGCTGGTGGGGGCGGTTCGGCTTTAGTTCTTGAAGTTCTCAGAAGCCGAACCACCACCACCGGCTGGGATCTTCAGCGAGCAATAAGCCACCGTCGCCGGAGCTCTTGAAGTCCATGAAACAACTCTTGCATGTACCTGAAATTTGGAGAACAATATTAGAGAAGATTCATAAAAACTATAAAGATTGAAAGAATCAACATCAACCACAAGAGGAGAACAAAGTTAGAGAAGATTCATTACCGGATCCATCGCATGCATGGAGAGAAGGAGGGAGACTCTAGATCCGTTGCTCAAGATCCCATCGGATGATGGAGGATCATCTTCTACGGTGGAAAGAGTTTCAAGAATCAAGAACAACCTTCTTGTCACAGCTTTCGGGAGAAGAAGATGACCCTCCAACATCCAGCAATGTCCTTTCGAGATCCGCCGTCACCCGAACTCCTGAAGTCCTTGCGAGATGAGGTTGCTCTCTGTCTCATTCTACTTTGTTATGTTTCAGGTTAACCCGCAGGTTTTGTGGGCCATCCCGCAATTGAGCGCAACCCGCAACAGCCCATCCCGTTAGGCCCGCTATTTAGTGGGCTCACAAATCCCTGGCCCAAACCCGCCCCGCAGCAAGCTTTAATGGGCCCGCCCGTGGTCCAAACCTTGTATTGAAATCCCTAGTAGTTCTTCCTCCTTCAACGGACTCGACGGTACCGATCTGACTTTTCTCACCAAAAACTCCTCCTCCATGGGTCATAGATGGGCTTTCTTCAACTTGAGGAAGGATTCCTTTTCTGGTCTCTCTCAACCGCCTCTGATACTCCTCCTCGTCGTTGAATCTCTGCTCAATCCGTTCAAGGACCTATAACTTACTCGACTATAACGACATTTGTTGCTGCATCGTCAGAATGGCTTGCTCGATCATCGACATCCTAGACATGTCTTGCTCTAAAGATGCGATCTTGCTTGCATTCTGACTAGCGAGCTCTAGCTGCTGAACGTTATCGTTTCTTTTTGGTGATATTTTTGGGTGGTGTTTGGATCGTAAAAGGCTCTGATACCAAGTTTGTTATGACTTGTAATCAAACTTTTATGATCTTATGAATGAAAGGAACAAGATTGTATTACTCGAGAAAACGTTTACAAAAGGACAACTCACTCAGAGAGACTCGATAGTGTTCAAGTTGAATACGGATGGAGCTTCCAGAGGTAACCTTGGATTGTATACTGCAGGCTGGGTCATACGAGATGAGTACGGAGAGTGGAAATGGGGATTTACACTCAACATTGGCATTTGCTCGGCCTTTGGCGGAGCTGTGAGGGGGGGGGGTGTACTATGGCCTGTGCATTGCATGAGATCATGGTATTCGAAGGCTGGAGGTGGAGGTTGACTCTGAGAGTGTGATGGGTTTTCCTCGGACATGGATTCATTATTCTCATCCCTTGTCGTTCCTAGTACGTTTGTGCTATGGCTTCATATCAAGAGACTGTCTACTTAAATTTTCTCATGTGTATAGGGAGGCCAATTATCTTACTGATGGATTTGCTAACTCTGTGTTTTCTTTACCATTTGGATTACATTATTTCGAGACTGTTCCGAAGGTTGTTCCTTATGTTTTGTTGGAGGAATTGAATGGGGTTTCTAGACCTCGTCTTTTTTGCTCGTAGTTGTTTTGATTTTGAATAAAAAGTAGGGGACTAATGTCCTCTGCAACCTACCAAAAAAAAATAGAAGACTATGATTGAAAGGTTTTACACATAAAAGTAGATTGAAATCCATTCAAAATATTTCAAATCAAATGAATTATAAGAATCTAACAAACATGAATAACAAGAAATAATAATAAAAGGTTTTAAAATCATTTAATAGAAATATTTTGAATACAAAAACCAATAACGCTAGATTTGAAAACAAAAATTAAAATCATTCCTTGAGTAACAATAGATTATAAAACTTAATGAATTAATTTTAAATCAATCCTTGATTGTTGTAGTACTTCTAAAGCAACATAAACTAGTACCAAATTTACAAAATATTTTTATGTTAAAGAGTAAATATTTTTTTTTATCAACTGGTCTTTTTATAAATTAATAGATCACTCTTCAACCAAAGAGACAATATTTACAATATAAAATAACAAAGTTAAACCAGCACAAAGAACATGTGCTGAACTAACAGAACAATAAGTAAAAACATGATAGATAGAAGTCATTTCAATTAAATAACTAAAGACATGGTGAAGTTCTCTAAACTTGATATCCATAAGCTAAGAAGTGAGATGAAGCTACACCCAAAAGAGAGCACATATGAAGCTCCAAGGATTGAAGTTGATACCACAACTGAGACATAAGTAACAATCAGGATAACCACTAGGGATTCAGCTTCATTAGTAGGGACGACACAACTTCAAGCTACTGGAAAGTTTGACCACGCAAACACTGAACCAGTTGATACCATTCTTCATAAGGTTCCTATCATAAAGTCACTCAAAACAAACGAAATACAACCATTTACCAGCAAGGAGTACAATTAACAAGAGGAATTTTAAGAGAGTTTATACATAATCACCCATGACACAAAGAGTCGGAAACTCAAAAATGTTTTCTCACTCTTATCTCTTATCACAACTGAAGTACTCCTAACTACGCTAAAAGAGAGACAGATGTTGAGTAAGGAATGACGTCTAAAATAAATTGAACGAAAGAGAGATACACGCATCATCCAAATAGTTCAGAATATAGACAACAATTTTGAAAACAAATACTTTTAAAATTGCACACAATTGACAAATACCCACATGTAGGACGGATAGAAAACTACTAAAAAATATAAGTGGCAGATATACAACTACTAGAAAATATAAATGTGTTGGAGATAATCTAATCAGCTCCAAGTTTATTCCGGCGATTAAACATAGTTAGCATTTTTTAACAAGCGTATTTTCTAAATAGTGGTAGGAGTGGTGGATCCAGAAAACATTTTGAATGTGGGCAAAAAAGTTATTTGGTTCTTTTACATAAATATGTTTTATATCTTTTAATAAAAATAACATATAGAAGAAAATATAAACTAAACTACATCTAAAATATTTTTTTTCTAAACTGAAAGAAGAAAAAGAATGAATTCACTAACAAAATAACATGAAAAAACTGGAACTATTTGTGAAAACAAAATTTAACTCAATGAAAAGATCTGATGACAAGAAAAAACGAATGGAGAAAATGAAGATGTAACACAGAAAAAAAAAAAAAAAAAGGAAAACAAAAAAAGTTAAGAAAGAAAAAATACTTTTTAATGTGGCAACAAGGGTGCGTACCCAAGTCTAGTGAGAGGCAGAGAGAAGGACTATACCAAATAAGCTGCAGGTATCTTTATTTTTTACAGTACAAATACTTATTTGTAGCATTAGGGCAGCTGCCACCTTCTCACTCTACGTAGATCCGCCCCTATTTCTAAAACCTATTTTCTAAAGCATCCGGGCTAGTTTCGACCGGTCCGTGTTGAGATAGGGAGGATGAAGAAAGGAGGGGAAGCAGGAGAGTATCACTCAAAGGATTTCGAATGGGAGTTTGTGAAGAATTTGGTAGAGAATGATCCATCTCTCTCCCACCATCTCCACCACCAACATCAAGTAGATTCCGCATCCTCCTCCTCCTCTGATTCGAAGCCATGGCAGGATTTCCACTCCCGTCACTCCTCAGGAAAGTTTTTCAAGGTACACACCACATCCCGCCCATATTAGATTGTCTAGTAGAGATGGGTGCACAACTGAACCTTCCCATTTCGATTGGGATGCTTGATTTGAGAATTATTCTTCCCTGAATGGATAACAAGTCTCACTAAAGTAGAATTGAATTAAATATAACTACTTAACCAGCTCTAAAATTGATCTTAGATCCTAAATGTGTGTAGGAAAGAAGGTATCTGTTGAAGGAATTTCCTGAGTTAGTTTCCTGTGGCAAAAACTCTAAACTCTTGGAAGTCGGTTGCGGTAACGGGAGCACTGTGCTTCCCATTCTACGGTATCTTCACTCCCCCTTTATGAGATACATGTTTTCTTTTGAACTAACCTATTCAATGCTTATCTTTTTATCTTTGCTTTTTCTGTGCAGTTGTAGCACGAACATTACTGTATATGCTTGCGATTGTAGCAGTGAGGCTCTTATTAAGACTAAAGAGAACATTAATCGCGCTATTTCTACAGTTGATAAATTCCATTCTTTCTCTTGTGACTTTTCAACGTCTGCATTCCCAAATTGGGTGGCGTGTCATCATTGTCGACACAACCAACATTGCTACCATTCAGGTTTCAGTTCCTTCACGTAGATACACTTTGATCTCTCATCTACTAATCTTTTACATTTTATGTCTTCTTAATCAAAAGGAGAGAATGAAGATACTTCTTTCAATGAACATTGCATCGGTGGGATGGATTTTGTCACTCTGGTACGTTATAACACCAACCATTGGCATTTGATGTCATATTTCTGCACTGGATCTAGATTTGTGGATTGTTTTAGTCTAGAGAATAAAAAGTATGAAATAAAAAAAATCTACAGAGATAAAAGGCTGATCAACATATATTTTCAACTTAAATATATGCTCTTCATGTTCTGTTATCTGATTCTTAACCATTGGGCTCGTTCCATTATAGCTCATTGTAACTCGGCTTGTTATGTCAGATTTTCACATTGTCGGCAGTGCCTAAAAAAAGGATGCCGAGAGCTATCAAAGAATGCTTTGCTGTGCTGAAACCTGGTGGTCTGCTCTTGTTTAGAGATTACGGTAATTGTTGTTGACACACCATGAAAGATCACCATTTAAGAGTAAACATATGTTATATTACAAAGGAGAAACTAACACATGGAACTAAAATTCAGGCTTATATGACATGACTATGCTGCGGTTTAAGCCAGAGAAATGTATTGGGTTTAGGGAATATGTTCGGTCAGACGGAACCCTTTCCTATTTCTTCTGTCTCGACACTGTTAGGAAACTATTTACAGATGCCGGATTCATCGAGGTAAACCTTAGTGTTCCTGTTCTTTTCCCACTAATGCATTCCTTTCCAGTTATTATGTGTGTATTCACATGATGTTTCTATTAGGCAATCCTTTGTATAAAAAATCCTCTTTATAAAAGCATTTCTTCAAAATATGATTTGGGACAAAAACATTTGAATGGATCACCTGTCTTATTAATATTTAGATCTTGACTGCAGGTCGAGCTTGAAAATTGTTGTGTCAAAGCAGTAAACCGGAAAAAGAATAAGAACATGTACAGAGTTTGGGTTCATGGGAAGTTCCAAAAGCCTTTACCAAAATAAGATTGAAACGCAAGTGCTGGATCAAGGGAATAATATCTATTTCAACATGAACAATACAAGTTTTTTTTCTCCTAACGTTTTAATAGTGCATGGATATTTATTTTTATTTTTATAATATAATAATATTATTTAAATGTTTATAGTTAATATTTTAAATATTTATCATATTTTAAATTGTTTATAAACATTATAGTGAAATAGTTTACATGTTAGACACAAATATTTATCTGTGTGCCATATTAGACTTTGGACAAACATTGAACCATTCATATGTTTAAATAATGTTTGTTTTAACATAAAATCGTTTTTCAACTATATAATATTTTAAATATTTTAACTATATATAGATTATATAACGAGATTTAGATACATCAGACAAGAAATATTCTTTTATAAACATTAAATATTATTCTATAAGTAATTTTATGATATTTAAAATTTTATATAGATAAATTTATTGTTAAAAATAATTAATAGTAAATAAAATTAATGAAAATATATTTTAGAAATATTTGAGATATATATATATATATATGTATATATATATATATATATATATATATATATATATATTAGGAATCATTAAGACAGATTAAAAAGAATATCTAATTATAAAAAATCCATATTAATCTACAAGTAATTCAAAAATAATTAAACTTTACCATATATGGATTTTATTATTTAAAATAATTAATGATAATGGTTAAATATATATTTTTAAAATTTTAAAATACATATATTTTAAGCCTTACAAACTAAATGTGTGGTGTTTATATGATATTTGGTTAATATTATATTATATTATTAAAAACGTTTTAAACTTGAATTTTCTTAAAATTTAGCTAAATCATTTTAGAAAATATGTTGATCATGAAAATTTAGGTAAATTTGATTTAGAAAATAATTTAATAAAAAAAAAAAAAAAGACAATGATTACTTAATATAGATTTATTTAATTTTTAGTGGCATTAGATTATAAATATTGTGCAAGTTTAATTGTTATTTTATATTTGTACTCATGTTTTAATAGAATAGATGTCATAATGAATTAAATTAAAAAAAATTGGTAAAAAATATATAAACTGGGTTTATCGAAAATAGATTGTAAAATTAAAAAAATGGGTTTCTAAACCCTTAAACAATGGATGGACTAAAATCCGCAATCTAGATTCTTGTTTTAATTCAAGGGAAATTGTCAGAAATAACACTTTCAAGATACCACTTTTCAACTTTACACTAACCAACTTTACCATTAAAATTTTAATAGTCAAAATACTACTAGAATTTAGGGTTTTGGGTTTTGGGTTTAGGATTGATAGTTTAGGGTTTAGTGTTGATTTTTTAGGGTTTAGGGTTTACTTTTTAGGGTTTATAATTTAGGGTTTAAGGTTTAGAATTGATGTTTTAGAGTTTAGGATTGATTTTTAGTGTTTAGAGTTTACTTTTTAGGGGTCTAGAGTTTAGAATTGATGTTTTAGGGTTTAGGGTTAATATTTTATTTAATATTTATTTTATGTATATATATAAAGAACAAGGATATAAGAGTCTTATCCTTTAATAAAATGTGTATTTTTGAAAATGTTTCTTTGTTGATGGTAAATATGAAAAGTGGTACCACCAAAGTGGTACAATTGAAATTCTCCCATTCAACCTAACATTTTATCTTTTCTATCCACTCCTGTGTTTTTTGAACTCCACATTATCATAATAAACAAGACAAGAAACAATATACGAAAACTTAAAGGCTAAAAACTTAAGATCACATAAGGCCAAAAATTTAAGATCACATCAAAATTTAGGAAATTCGGTCTAGTTACACATTTACATTATTAAGCTACATGTACTTCCGACCTAAAATTAATGGGAAGTTAACTCAAATAGTATGAATTTTATTATTTATTACCACAACCATACAAAACTTTTTTTTATTACTACCTTTTTTTTAATACTCAGCGTGCCCTTTTTTTACATTGTGAGAAAAAACGTATTTACAAGAATGCCATTACTTTTTGGTGCCACGTAGGCAAAAAATCGGCTCTACGTAAGAATGCGGCATAAAACTCAGCCGTAATACGATATGAACTTCGTTACGGCCGAGATATAGGTGCGTTGCGGCTGACTTAAATAATCTAGCCGAGTTATGAACATAACTCAGCCAATCGTTATGGCTGACTTAAAAAAATCAGGTTGGTTTATGTGATAACGGCTGAGTTGCGGTCACATATTACGACTGACTTATACATCAGCGGTCTGATTTCTGGAAAATCCGGCTGAGTTCTAGTTTCCATATGGCTGAGTTAACTATCGCGACTGGTTAATTGATCGTCGACAGGCCGAGTTATGAGATGTGTTTACAACTAAGTTATATTTAATCAGCCGTAATAATATGGAGTAACAGTAAACTCAGCTGAATTACGGCTGACTTATTAGCGAAAGATTAATAACTAGAATAGCATTCTTCTGCCGGCTGATTTATTTGACGATACAGCTGACTTATTGCGTTTCATCTTTGTTATGGCTGATTATTAGCAAAAAATTAATTACTAAAATAGCATTCACGTTTTGACTGACTTAAGGTTACTTGGTGGCTGACTTATTGTGGCTGACTTAAGTGTTCGTTTGGTGGCTGAATTATCTGTTTTCCATGTCATCATCCATGTCAGCTTTTATTTTCCATGTCATTACTAACTACAACAATGAAATTAGGGTTTATGTTACATACGCCGCTCTATGTTCTTCACCTTCTTCTCTTTCTCTAAAATCTTATGGATACAGTAACTATTGTTTCAGGTAACTGGATTAAGAAAAACAGATATGTATTCACACTCGACAGTAGAGGATGTATTGTTCTGCATGCAGATGAGAAAACAACACATGGCGAACTCGCAAAGTCAGTACTCGATGGTTACGGATTGAATGAGTCGAGTCATCAGATTCAGCTAAGCTACCAGTTCTCGAATAAAGCTTTGAAAACAATGGCTCACGACACGCCACCATTTTACGTCTCCAATACTCGTCAATTGCAAATATTTTTAAGCCTAAGGAAAACCGAAAGATTACGTCTCTGTGTAGAGATTAAGAGAACGAGGATGATGAGATCAGCCGGAAAGACGGAGAGGGAGAGAAGAGTAATATATTATACAGTTTCAGCTCAGAAGCAGAAGTCTCAGAAGTTGAATCTAGATACGATGGTTTTAGTTTGGAGGAGGAACATAATGACAATGAGAATAACTTCTCTAATATCTTGGATGGAGAAAAACAGAAAGAAGTTGGAGAAGATGAAGAAGGCGAAGAAGACGGTGAATTTGATAGCCGATTTGATATGTTCGACTCAAATGGTGCGTCATCCGAAGATAATAACTTTAGCTCATATGGTGAGTCTCCAGCACAAGACGAAGATTCACCGACACTACCGCCTAAAAAGAGATCTCAGACTGAAACTTCTTACAGTTGGACCGGATCTAAAGGGGATTCAGAGGTTCTAAGGTTGGAGATGTCTTCGCTAAACCTTGTTGTTGGTCAACGATACCAGAGTAAAGCTGAGTTGGAAAGACGACTGAAACTTCTTACAGTGAGAGATCAATTTGATTTTGATGGGGAAGTATCCAATCCAAATTTACTCATTGTTAAATGTTGGGTTGGTGGATGTCTCTGGAGAGTTCGTGCTTCAACATAAGGAGATTCTCCGACATTCTATGTTCGTATTTACGATTCGGAACATACATGTTCTGTAACTGAGCGTTCTAATCGATCTCGACAAGCAACACCAGATATTTTAGGAGAATTGTACAGAAACTTTCTCGGCGACGTTGGTCCGGCCGTTCGACCTACGAGAGTGGGAATAGCTCTCAATAAACAGTTTGGTCTCAAGGTAATTGTTGTAGTAAGTCTGACTTATATCAACGTTACAGCTGAGTTATATCTACACTTTGTGGCTGACTTATATTAACGTCCGGCTGTGCTAGTTAAGTGATAGGCTGAGTTATATAAACTTCGAACGATGCGGCTGAGTTAGTTGAATTATCTAGCTGGTTTATTTAAACTTCAACGTTTCAGCTGAGTTAGTTAAGTATATGGGCTGGGTTGTTTATACGTTACAGCTGTGTTATTTAAGTTATTCGACTGAGTTATTTATACGTTCAAGCTGAGTTACTTAAGTGATTTGGCTGAGTTATTATTTGTACTCATTTGGGCAGATGGATTATTGGAAATCGTATAAGACTCTGAAATTTGCAAGGGAAATCGATATGGGAACACCTGAGAGTGGTTTTGAAAACTTGCCTTCTTACTTATTCATGATAAGAAGGGCAAATCCTGATACAATAACTCGTATTCAAATCGATGAGTTTGAAAGATTCTTGTATGTGTTCCTTGCGTTTGGCGCGAGCATAAATGGGTTTCCTTTCATGCACAAAGTTGTGGTTGTCGATGGTACGTTTCTTAATGGCAAATACAAAGGGACGCTTCTAACAACACTAGCTCAGGATGGTAACTTTCAGATTTTTCCAATCGCCTTCGGTTTGGTTGATACAGAAAATGACGATTCGTGGAACTAGTTTTATACGCAACTAAAAGTTTTGATTCCTGACGACAAGGGTCTTGCGATAATCTTAGATAGGCATAACTCGATTGGGAAGGCTATTCGAAATGTGTATCCGTTGGCTTCTCGAGGAATTTGCACGTACCATTTATATAAGAACATTTTGGGACGGTACAAATGGAAAGATGTATTTCGTCTGGTGAAGAAAGCGGCAAGATGTTTCAGGATGCCTGACTTTAATATTCGAGGAGATTGAAGCTATTAATCCTGACCTTCATGGGTACCTCCAAAGAGCCGATATCAAACTGTGGGCGCGTGTTTATTTCCCAGGCGAAAGGTACAATTTGATGACTACGAACATAGCGGAATCAATGAATAGAGCATTATCAAATGCTAGAGGACTTAACATTGTTCGACTACTAGAATCGATATGGGTTATGATGACCAGATGGTTTGCTGAACGGAGAGAGGAAGATGAATCGCAGCAAACCATGCTTACACGTGCTGTAGAGAAACTACTACTTGTAAGTCAGCCGTACTTATTAGATAAGTCAGCCGTATCATTTAATAAGTCAGCCGAATTAGATATCATAACTCAGCCGTATTAATGATAAGTTAGCCTAACTAGATTTCATAAGTAAGCTGTATCAATGATAAGTCAGCCTAAATAGATGTCATAAGTCAGCCAGATATTTTAATAAGTCAGCCTAAGTAGACTTCATAACTCAGTCTCTAATGTTTTTCATTGTTCATTTTTTATTTATAATTGGGTCGTGTTACTACCACGAGACTGTTGACTGTACAAAGGATCGATACTCATCACACTGAAGTTACATATGGTGAGTCTTTGCATGTTGTTAACTTGGAAAAGAGAAAGTGCACATGCCGGCGTTTCCAGCTGGAGAAATTACCATGTTCGCATGAAATTGCAGCTGCGGAGTCCATGAATGTTTGTCGTATATCCATGTGCAGTCCTTACTATACCAGCGCTTATTTGGTGAGCGCATACGCCAATTCAGTCATGTCGGTTGATTCAGCGCTATGAGTTCCAGATAACGTGGTTAACCTAGCATGCTTTCCCCCGTCTATTCGTCTTCAGCCAGGAAGGCCTAAGAAAAATAGGATGAAATCTGCTTTAGAGGTTGCACTTGAAAACAAACGTCCTAGGAAAGAACACACATGTTCTCGTTGTAGACAGAGTGGACATAATGTGAAAACTTGTCCGATTTAAAAGTGTTGTATTGATATGTAGACTATGTTGTATTACAGCTGAGTTATTGATTTTATATATACAAAGTGGCTGAGTAAATTTTCGTTAATGCGACCGAGTTATTAATTAGTTGATAATACAAGAGATCTCATAATACAAAGTGGCTGAGTTAACTTAATAATGCGGCTGAGTTATTAATTTATTGAAATTTACAGCATTGTTTGAACAGTACGACTGAGTTATTTATTCTCTAAAGACTGAGTTATTTATTCTCTACAGGCTGAGTTATTGAATTTGACGGCTGGGTTATTATTCCCTTCCGGCTGAGTTATTGAACTTTCAGCTGAGTTATTGAAATTGACGGCTGGGTTATTATTCCCTTCCGGCTGAGTTATTGAACTTTCAGCTGAGTTATTGAAATTGACGGTTGGGTTATCATTCCCTTCCGGCTGGGTTATTTATTATCTATCGACTGATTATGTTATATAGAAGAGACTTAAACCGGAATAAATATAGTACATTACAAGTCCAAAAGAAGCAGAGTACATTACATACTCTACAAGAGTTATGAAAAGGAAACAAACCAAAGGACCTAGCTAGTACATTCATTACAACCTTAGGCAGTACGACCGGTAAGACGAAGGGACGACGAAGTTGAGCCAGAAGCAATGTCACCTGCAGAACAAGACAAAACAAGCAAGTTAAACCAGAAGCAATGATTGGGAGAAAGAACACTCTTTGCAATTCAACTCCAACACAAAAGACTCACCACTCTTTCTGGTCAAGTGTTTGCTCAGTATTTCAGAACACTCTTTGCTTTCCGGACATACACACATCAATGGAGAAGTTTTCCCATCTCCAACCACATTGAGCACAATTAAGTCTCCTATGTCGTATCTGTTATCAAAACAGAACTTTCTCCAGCCTTTCTGATGTAATATATGCCGCCTGATTCGTTAAATCGCAAACTCACAGTCCATGAGCTTCCCTCTTTGTTCACTAGTATCGTATCTTGGCATTGTTTGTTCAAAGCAGTAGAACGCGTAGCTGCCACAGGAAGATGCTGCAAACACAGAACGTTAAGATGCTGCAAACACAAGATTGTCTTCTTTTAGATTTGAAATAGAGACACAAAATGTAAACTAGTCACAAGTTTGTCTTCTTTCAAATTTGAAGTAGTGACCTCAGTCAAAAACAGTAGTCGAATGAGAAAGAAGACATTGCCCCTTTTTCTCACAAGATTTTTATGCTATTACGGTGAACTTTGATTGAAGCATCACCCGCAGCATCATCATCCGCGTCGCCTTCCTCCTTGATTATGTGAGGATGTGTATACTGAATCTCACAATAGCTAGGACCAAAAGGAGTGACATGAAACACCATGTCTCCTTCGAGTTTGAAAATGGAAATGTCACCGATTCGAAGGTCATGTGCTGTGGTGAAATCTTCCCAACCTACGGTGAGTCTCCCGCCTTCTTGTATCACTTCCCAAGTGTTATCTGAAGTGTCTGATCTTAGTTTCCATGTTGTCTGGTTCGTCTTCCCTTCTATGTGCTTTGAGAAGAAGGCAAGTGGTATTGTCTGCAAGTCAGAAAAGGCAAAGTTAAGCAAAACTCAAAATTAGGAATCTATACAGAGGACAAAGAGTGTGTATACAAAGTAGTAGAACGCGTAGCTGCCACAGGAAGATGCTGCAAACACAAGTTTGTCTTCTTTTAGATTTGAAATAGAGATACAAAATGTAAACTACTCACAAGTTTGTCTTCTTTCAGATTTGAAGCAGTGATCTCAGTCAAAAATCAGTAGTCGAATGAGAAAGAAGACATTGCCCATTTTCTTCCTGAAACATAAGAAACAATTTTCCACGTCAAAAAAAATGGCGAATAGAGATTTACACCCTCAACGTGACCAACACAGATCCAACATCCCACGTGCTGCTGCATGTGACTCATCACTTCTTGTTATTCCTTCTTATCCTATTTACTTGTCTTCCAAGTACCAACACTCTTTTGGACCACAAGTACTGACAACTTTTACTCCTTCTGGGCCTTATGCCCTTTACGCCTCTCATACTGATAAAGCATTGGAGGTCGATTAGCTTCAATCGTATCATAGAATTTGTTTTGGATTACACTCATCGTAACATGTTAAAGTTGAGTATATATATGCCAAAGTTGCCTGATGAACAACACTTTCCTTCTCATCTTACAAGCATTACTCTAAGTCATTGTTGTTTGGAGGAGGACCCCATGCCAGTTGTGGAAAAGCTGCTTCACTTGAGGAGGTCAGCCTAGGGCCTCGAGCTTTTGCTGGGAAGAGGATAGTTTTCTATGGAAACGGATTTCCTAAATTGGAGCTTGTATTAACTCAACAATTTGAGTTGGAAGACTGGAGAAGAAGGGTCCATGCCACATCTCCATACTCTGTTTATTACTCAATGTGAAAACTTGAAGGAGCTTCCTCATGAACTAAGATACATAGCTTTTTTGAAAGTACTGAAAATTGAATTGATGAAATAGGAATTTAAAGAGAAATTGGAGAATAGAGGCGACGATCACTTCAAAATTTATCACATTCCCCATGTTGTATTCTTTTTGTGTGAGTGAAGATTACACACTCTTCAGCAACAACATAATACCAGGTAAAATAGCTCTTATGAGTCTTCTCTCTCTGTTATGATCCATTCTCTTTACATCCTTTTAAGGGAAAGAAAACATTTAAGTTTTTTTTTCAGGATTCTTCAATATTGATGTCCTAAACTTTGTTTTCTCTTTTGGTTTTTATGTTCAGGCATCATCTTTTGAAGTGAATGTCTTCTTTTGTTGATCCACCAAGTATCTTTGTATAAAACCTCGTTGATTTTGTTTGGTGTGCTTGTTATGTATACATAGCTTATGTTCGAACATGACTCGTTTTATGATTTCTTAATTGCTATTTTGCTATGAAGCAAAGGTACTACTGGAAGCCCTATTGATTCTTTTATATGGTTTAGATTTGGACAAACATATGTTTATATTTTCACTTGATTCAATTATATAGTTTCTTATTGATGCTCTCTGTAATTTTCTTTGGTTCTTTTGTAACATATTTCCTGTTGATACTTTGGTCAGTGAGCTTCTCGAGGGAGAAGGTTTGTCAAGGGTCTCTGGCATGAACAGCTCATACCTGTACCTGTGTTGATTCAAAAGAGGTGTGAGACATATGTTGTTTTTCTTGTGTCGTGTTTTCAACCGACTAGGCTTTGAGTTTCTCCGTCTAAAACATCGTTGACACTGAATGACTTCAAACTACAACCATATCTTATTTTGTCAACACTTTTGGACAGAACTTATCAAACCATTACTAGTGGAATTAATGAGCAAGTTTACTTTACAGCACCACCCATAAGAGCCTCATACATCTTCTGTGAAGCAATTTGGATTGAATTTGAATTAAAAAAAGTCATATTTCTCATTATATAAACCAAAGTGTGTACCTTTTATACAATAAGTATCATCAATGTCTCATATAAACAAAACACAGAACAAAAAAAGAATCATACTTTAAAAACAGAACCAGCTGGGACTTTACGCTTTCTTTCTACAGATACGAAGGAGGGCTCTTGTAGCAATGGCCTCACATCCATTGAATCCATCTCTTCTTCAGACATGTCACAGAAGAATCCTTTGTGAACTTCTTTGAGGAATCTCAAAACACTTGCCAATGCCCCATTCTCCTCACTCTCATCTCTCTTCTTCTCCTCATTACATTCTGAAGACGACTCTATGAAATACTCGTACTTTGCAATCTGCAGAAAATTCTTCTTGTGATGAGGCCAAACACTACGAGTATCATCCACAATGACAATCCCACGCTCATCAGCCAAGACAAGATCAAGTGTCTTGTTCACACCGGGACTCTCTCTACTGCTTACAACTCTATCCCCAAAATAACTCTTGTCTGGATCGGTCAGCTCCAACACGAGTCAAGCGTAATCACAACCACCCTTAGTGTAAACAGACATAGAGAACATCTCGCTGGCTTCTTTCAAGAACTGGTGGACGTAAGGTCTTAGCTTTATCAACATATCATTAAGGGTACACCCACTGTAAAATCTCCATAGATCAGTCCTTGACTCAGCTTCATCTGCTAGATACTTTTCGGATTCGGAAAGCTGTTGAGTTCTAATGGTGTGGACAAGCGTGTGGTCCAAGTCAAGAACTAGGTTAACCTTGTTGTCCTCGAGCCACGATTTTTGCGAGTTAAAGCGTTTCGTAATTGCTAACGCTTCGTGGCTCATAATTTGCATCAGTACCTATGATTCGAAGATTCCGTGGTGGCAAGACGGAGACTGTATGATCGCCGCGTCGATCTTCCGCCTTTTGGGTTTCGGGAACAGAGGATCCGTAGCAACTAGAGACATGGGTTTTCTGAATAACATGAAACTATTCTCAACTAAAGACATCGTTCTATTATTTCTGGTATTCAAGAAAGGAAACAGAAAAATTATCAATCAAAAGCAGCCAGAAAATCTAGGAAGTCGAGTGAATGTAGAGAATTTATTGGAGCGCAAACCAGTTTATATAGAGAGTTGCTAAAAAGGAAAATTTCCCTTTTTTTCTCTCTTTCCCAAAGATGCGTTCTTTCAACGCGTCATGTTTGGAAATGACCATTATACCCTCTTTACTTGGTAAACATTAGTGAAAATTTATAAACTTTATCTAATGTTATTTTTGTGATAATCTACATTTTTAGATATAAAAGTGTATAATTTTTTATTTATACAATAATTTTTGAAATATCTTCACTCAAGACTCATATGATTTTATTATTCACCACTTCTGAAAATATTTATAAAATACTTTATTTTCTAAAATGCAATAACTTATGGGTTTTAAAAAGTAAATAACGAGATTAATTAAAATACACACAAACAAAATTGCAAAACAGAGTCGGGTCAATAAACCTTGGAAGCCATTAGGGTTTAGGCGATTGGGGAAAGGTAATGTACGCATTTCCAAAAACACCCTTATCCTCACTTTCTTCATAACCTTACCGTTAGTTTGTTCGCCGCTAAAACCTCGACGGCGTTTTCATCTTCCTCCTCTCGAACAATAGCACTCGCCGGAGCCGAGAAACTATACACACCCATCTCCCATGAAGAGAAAATCTCAGGAGGAATCTACTGATTGTGCTCCGCCGCAGAAGGTCCAGAGAGAAGATGATTCCATCAACGAAGAGCTCGTTGGTTACGTTCACGACGTTTTTCCTTCCCTGATAATTACCTTCCTCCCTCTGCTCAAGGAGATAACAAACCTCCGGCCAAAGAATTCCCCTTCACCCTTGACTCCTTTCAGTCTGAAGCTATCAAGTGCCTCGATAACGGCGAATCGGTTATGGTAAGCTGAAAATTCGTTCTTAAGTTCCGAAAGATTGGATTCACTGCCGATTATTCTCATTAAGTTTGGTTTTGGTTACTGAATGTGTAGCCTTGCGTAATTGATTTAGATCCTATTGCTTCAAATTTATATGTTATATAATATAGTAATTGTGATTTATAGTGTAAGTTTAGTTGAAATTAGTAAGGGAACAAAACAATGAAAGTGTCTGGTGATGTTCAGGTTTCAGCTCATACATCTGCTGGTAAAACAGTTGTGGCATCCTATTCAATTGCCATGTCTTTGAGGGAGAACCAAAGGGTTATTTACACTTCCCCTATTAAGGCCCTTAGTAATCAGAAGTACAGAGATTTCAAAAAAGAGTTTTCTGACGTTGTTTTGATGACTGGGGATGTCACAATTGATCCCAATGCTTCTTGTCTTGTAAGTGTATTTACTATTTCTTTTGATGCCGTGTGAGATATTGCTTCTTATTTATTGATCTTTTGTTTCAGGTCATGACAACAGAGATATTGCGTAGCATGTAGTATAAAGGGTCTGAGATTATGAGAGAGGCTGCTTGGGTTATTTTTGATGAGGTGCATTACATGCGTGATAGCGAAAGAGGTGTGGTTTGGGAAGAAAGTATTGTAATGGCTCTCAAGAATTCTCGTTTTGTGTTTCTTTCTGCAATTGTTCCCAATGCCAAGGAGTTTGCTGATTGGATTGCAAAGGTGATTCAATATTGCTAATCCTTCTACCTTTCTTGTGTGGATGGAAACTGTGTTATATACCATTTCAATCTCTTATATCAACTTGTGATTCTGATTTTTTATTAACATGTTGTGGGGAAAATATTCATATCCATGGTTGACATGATAACAAAGCCCGTTCAAGTGAAAAGAGATTGAAAGCTTTTGTTATGGAGATGTGATTTTACTGTTGTAATTGCAGGTACACAAACAACCATGCCATATTGTGTACACCGATTATAGGCCAACTCCACTTCAGCACTATGTCTTTCCTGCCGGAGGGAGTGGGCTTTACTTGGTTGTGGATGAAAAAGCTCAATTCCACGAGGAGAGCTTCCAGAAATCTCTTAACGCACTGGTTCCTACTAATGATGCTGACAAGAAAAGAGAGAATGGAAAGTCTCAAAAGGGATTGATATTTGGAAATTTTGGTGAAGAAAGTGATATCTTCAAATTGGTGAAAATGATTATTCAGCGGCAATATGATCCTGTGATTTTGTTTAGTTTTAGCAAAAAGGAGTGCGAGGCACTTGCTATGCAGGTTACTTTTCTCTTACTTTTACAAACACTGTTTATATTTAAAAGGTTTGAACAACTTTAGTTGGTTATGAACTCCTTCCCTGGCCATCTCATTTGAGGGGTGTTATTTTATTTATATCCAAAAATTTAGGGTTTTTTGTTTCTTCTTCTTATGCATGGGACTTATGTTTTGTGTACATTTGTTTGTACAGACATTTCAATTATTGTTTCTTATGATTTATCTAGTGTCCTAACGTGCACCTTGCAGTGTCTTGTTATATGTGAATTAAATAACATGAAGCTCATTGTGTGATTATTGTCACTCACACTATATAAAACGTTATGTATATCTGTCTATTTGCTTCACAGATGTCTAAGATGGATTTAAACAGCGACGATGAGAAAGACTCCGTGGAGACAATCTTTACTAGGGCAATCGATATGCTTTCAGATGATGATAAGAAGCTACCTCAGGCAAGCATTCATTAAACCTCTATCTAAGATGCATGCAACTTTAAATAACGCTTTAGACTTGTATATGTTGCTTGCCTTGTAGCCACCTTACTTGACACAAAAAATTCCCAAAATATTATACTTGTGACTAACACTTAATAGCTGATGTTCCTTCTGATGTTCGATTAAAGGTCCTTTTATCTAGTTTCAACTGTGATTTGGTTGTTGGACATACTTGTCTGCAGGAAAATTGACATGATTCCTGGCTTCATGTAAAGCAGGTGTCGAATATTATACCCATATTAAAACGTGGTATAGGCGTTCATCATTCGGGTATGCTTCCAATTTTGAAAGAAGTAATAGAGATACTATTTCAAGAAGGTTTGATCAAGGTAGGTGAAGCTACATTTTCCATATTTTCAATTCATACTACCTTTTACATTTACTTGGTATGTACTCATGAGTCATGATGTTTTCCTTGACTATCTTTGCTATGGCATCACCTCATATGTTAATTTCTTGCTACTTAGTTTTGAAGTATTTTCTTTTAGTGTGTTTGCAACAGAGACATTTAGTATTCGATTGAACATGCCGGCAAAGACGGTTGTGTTCACAAATGTACGCAAATTTGATGATGACAAGTTCCAGTGGCTATCTAGTGGTGAGTACATTCAGATGAGTGGTCGTGCTGGACGTCGAGGTATTGACAAATGAGGTATCTGCATCCTCATGGTTGATGAGAAGATGGAACCCGCTGTTGCTAAATCAATGCTCAAAGGAAGTGCTGATTCTTTGAACAGGTACATTACTAGTATCGGATATATATAATACTAAATCCAGTGTGGAAAGTGATCAATATTTGGGCTTTTACACTTCTTGACATACTAATTGACGTATGCTGTTTCGTTTCTTTTTCATCAGTGCCTTCCATTTGAGCTATAACATGCTTCTAAATCAGTTGCGGAGTGAAGATGGTGATCCTGAGAATCTTCTCCGCAATTCTTTCTTTCAGTTTCAAGCTGACCGTGCTATTGAGGTGCAGTTGCATTGTATGATAAGTAAGTTTCAGATTTGATTATGTAATGTTCAGTTAACGTAAGTGATGTGATTGTGGTCTGGTCTTTGCAGAAGCAAATAAAATCCCTTCAAGAAGAGAGTAACTCTATGGTGATTGAGGAAGAGGAAAGCTTAAAGAATTATTACAACCTGATTTTACAATATAAGAGTCTGAAGAAGGATATACGTGAAATTGTGTTCTCTCCAAAGTACTGCTTACCCTTTTTAGTGCCGAAGAGAGCTGTTTGTCTCGATTGCACAAATGATGATGGAGAGTCACAATCATTCAGCATTGAAGACCAGGATACGTGGGGAGTGATAATGAAATTCAACAAAGTCAAAAACTTATCTGAAGGTTAGAAATTATGAGAATTACCTTTTCATTAAAATGTTATTAATCCCTTTAAATGGTGATGATTTAATCTTGACATACGCAATTCTTTCAGATGATGATAATAGAAGACCAGAGGATGCAAACTACACCGTAGATGTACTGGCCAGATGTTTGGTCGGCAGAGATGGCGCTGGCAAAAAGAAAATCAGGCCTGTGCCATTTAAGGAACGTGGTGAGCCTATTGTGGTCTCTGTTCCTTTATCTCAGGTAACATGGCTGCGGCATTTGTAATGTTTACATATTCTTATGCGGAGGATTCTACTTTGATCTTATTATTTTCTTATTTACTATCATGGACAGATTAAGAGTTTAAGCAGTGCAATTATGAATATACCTAAAGATTATTTACAATTGGAAGCTCGAGAGAATGCTCTGAAGAAGGTTTCTGAGTTACTCTCTAGACATCCTGATGGAATACCCCTTGATCCTGAAGTTGATATGAAGGTATGTTGTTTTACTCTAGTACTCGTGTGTTTTGATCCCTTTCATTTGTCTCTAGAGATGAATACAAATATCTGTCTCAACAGATTCAGAGCAGCTCTTACGAAAAGACAGTTCGTCGGTTGGAAGCTCTGGAAAACCTATTTAAAAAACACAAAATTGCAAAATCTCCTCTGATAGCACAGAAGCTGAAAGTTCTACACATGAAGGAAGAGCTAACAACGAAGATCAAATCACTTAAGAAAGCTGTCTGATCTTCAACAACATTGGCGTTTAAAGACGAACTCAAGGCCAGAAAGCGTGTTTTACGAAGGCTAGGGTAAGTATTTGCTAAATTGATGTCATTTTACTTTCTAAACATCAGCCACATCTTCTATCTCATTGTCGACTGACTATTGTTGTTTATTCTGTTGATAATTTTGTATATATGAAGTTTTTTTATTAATATGTTGTTTTGACGTTGATACATCACAAGCGACAATGTTGTGGAGTTGAAGGGGAAAGTTGCATGTGAAATCAGTAGTGCAGAAGAATTGACATTAACGGAGCTAATGTTCAGTGGTGTCTTCAAAGAAGCAAAGGTGGAGGAGTTGGTTTCTCTCCTCTCTTGCTTTGTGTGGCGAGAGAGGCTCCCTGACGCAGCTAAACCCAAAGAAGAACTCGACTTGCTCTTCATACAGTTACAAGACACAGCCACGCGTGGCTTGAATGTAAGGTATACACTAACATTCTTTGCCCCTGCTCATCCAAGAAAACCTGACCATTTGAAGATTTGGGTCCGTTAACTTCTTCTTTTTTGTCTTTTGTGCCAGGTCGATATCGACGTAGAGAGTTTTGTGCATTCCTTCAGACCGGATATTATGGAGGCTGTATACGCGTGGGCAAAAGGCTCCAAGTTTTACGAGATCATGGAGATTGCTCGTGTTTTCGAAGGGAGTTTGATCAGAGCCATAAGGAGAATGGAGGAAGTTCTACAACAGCTCATAGTAGCTGCAAAATCCATAGGTGAAACACAGCTCGAGGCTAAACTAGAAGAATCTGTTTCCAAGATCAAGAGAGACATTGTGTTCGCAGCATCTCTCTACTTGTGATGCCATTTTGTTTATTTCTGACAACTTATTTTGCACCAAAGAAGGGAAGAGTTTTGTTTGTACCGTCATTCATTTTGCTTAAGATTTTATAATGTGTGCTAAGAACAAAGCAAGAGAATTTTTTTAACGTCATATTTTTTATTGATCATGCCCATTGGTTTGATGTAGAACAAGAAAACGCTTACATCTAAGTTACTTCATAAGACCTGGAGACATACTAAAACTTCAGTGCTATACACAGACATCTCATTTTTTCAACTGTCTTACAATCTTTTATGCTTCTGCTTTCATTGTTCCTACGAGGCAAATGCATTAAAACAGTGATATATCATCTTGATCCGGCCGTCGATGATCACCTGCCCTCTCTGTTCCCATTTTCGTCTGCATCAGTTTTGGGCTGCATCCTAACATTGATTGTGAGTTTGTTCTTAGGTGAAAGTTTCTTCACTTCTTCAGGTGTGTAGATAAATATCTTTCTCACCATTCCACAAAACTCACTGCATCACAAAACAGAAGACCAAAAGGATATTCAATAGGAGAAATAGATGCTGCTCTATAATAAAGAACAATTTCCTTTCACACCTGCAGCTCTCATGAGAAACAAAAGATTGAGTGTTTAGACCATAAAGGCACTTACTTCCATGGATCGTCACCAACCATCATCATGTCATCTTCATCATCGGTGTAAACAACTTGCCATTTTTTGGTAGATTCCAAGAGTTCACCCTTTATGTCAAACATCTCTTCCAGCCTCTTGAACAGATCCTCGTAACACTCTGACCTTGTCAAGTCAACAGCTCTGCCTACTGCACTACCTTGCATGTGTACCTAAATCAAATTGCCCCAAATCAAGAATAAGATAACTTTTGAAGTTGTGACCCCAAATAATTGGTACAGCGAACAATCCAAGAAGCTAGTAATCACTTTTGTGCAGCTACGTATCTGTCTGCTTTGCGATTCTTGAGAAGACCTCAGAGAGGATTTCTCAGGATCACCACTCCCCGAAGGAAGATTAGCTTGGTTGATATTCAACGACTCAGATTGCTGACCGGAGTCAAACTCATTGGATGGGGGTTGATCTACAGTGACAGCACCGGACACAGAGGCAGCAGAGAAACATTCGTCCACATTCATATTTTCAACAAGCTCAAACCCAAAAAGTCTGCAGACATTTCCATTAGTTTGCTTCTTTTCAGTAGGAGACTCGTTGTTAAGCGCTGAAGCAAAGGATTCAGCTGCACCATCTGCATGAGTAGGCCAAAAGGCTGATCCAATGGATACTCCAAATGATTTGTTCCCACCATGACCAAACATAGCAGTCTTGGCAGGAGGAGAGAATAATGGTACCGAGGAAAGATTGTCTGCCGGGGATTTCCACACACCAACTGCAGTAACTGAAGATAGCATCAATAAAAAGAGCTGACACGAGGAAGAACGGTTCAAAAGTGAAAGGAACCCATAATACCAGGAGTAGATGGAGCGGTGGTTGGTGAAGGCAAACCAGGAGGTCTCGGTCGTTTGTTCCTTTGTGGAGGAAGATGTGCAGAAGGCGTACTATTTGCAACTAGGGGCTCAAGTTCCCATGGTGAAACTCTTTCAGGGCGAAACACAGATGAAGGCTCGTCCCACTGAACCTGAAGCATTATCAGTTTGGTAACAAGCATGTTAATAAGATGCATCACTTATTCACTATATCAGAACTTGCGCCACAGAAATGTATAACTCTATAATCATATTCCAACCTTCAGCGATCTCCATTCAGAATCATGCCAGACCGAAGATTTGTTTTCCTGAACACCAACTATTGTGCCACTGAACCTGCATTGTTAACAAAAGAAACAAGAACTAGGAATTATAATGTATTCAGCTTTATCAGCAAAAAAAAAACAAGTAGTTAGATGTGATGCCTTTTCTCGGGAGCTTCTTCACCCTCGAATCTCATCTTGAAACGCATGCCTACAGCCAGCTTCTGGTTCTTAGCTTCGAGATACCTATTGACGCTCACGATAAACTCTGACCTACTAGTTCTGATAATAGAAGATGTGTCAGCCTGGATTTGCAGCCAAATGATAATCATCAAGCATATGCAAGCAAAAGTAACTGAAAGGCATTACAAGACGCACATATTGAAGAAGAGAAAGTGTGTGTTCCGACAAGCTACGTGTAAGATAGTAGAAGTTTATTTTTTCTATATTAAGCTGGCAATCCAATGCGGTGGGTTAATGAGTTTTGAACCATTTTATGGCTTTTCAATGTTGTTAGGGTTTTGTTTCCAGACAGTGACTCAATTAAACTAAAGTAAGAAAATCAGGACCTTGGCTTGTAGAAGACGGAAAAGATTGTTCCTGTTGTAATGGCATGAGCGGCAGTTGCAAGGACCCCAATATGCATGCTATGACTTGAGATGACAGAGGAAGGGATATTAGTCTGTTGTCTCATGTGCCGCCTAACACCAACTCGGAGCTCTTCATTCTCACCCCTGAAGGACAATGCTATGTCACATGCTCATATGCTTAAAGACAAAATAATATTTCAGACAGATAAAATGATAAGGAACTTGCCTTAAGAAAATGAAAGCATCACCAGCAACTAGTTTCTTCGAGCTAACAAAAACACTCCACCCAGTTGTTAGCAAATGGCGCCTTGGCTGGCCTGGTAGCCACAAACTCATGATATTTAATACTCGTAAAACGATAATGTTGATTCAAAATGTAGAAGTCCCAAAAGTTCTAAGTAGCAGTAGCATTGGCGTAAAGGAACTGAAATTCAAAAACCATTTAATGATAATATAGATAGCAAGAGTATTTACCTCGGAAAATGTGCCTAAAATGCCATTCATTATTGTGCAAATCAGTTGCAACCAGTTCTTGCCATGGTGGTTGCTGGGACATATCCTAAGGAAGAGAAAGCAACGTATTAGAGAGAGAGAGATTTCCAAAAAGTAACATAACGATGAAAGCAACTCTGACCAATGGTGGAAGACAATCATCTGCGTGTCTCCGTAGCACAGAGAATCCACCATGTGTGCTTGTGTCCGAAGCAGTTAGCGTCTTGCAAAATGAATGCACTGTGCACTTTTCAGGTTCTTGAACAGGGGCATCCGGGCTCACTGGTTCACTTTGCTGATGATCCATCATAATCAAGAACAGAAAAGTAAAATACAAATCCTTAATTAATAACAGAACAAACCAATCTTTTAATGCTTATAAAAAACTTACATCCGCTTCTGGCAATAAGGTTATTTGCGCATATACTTCGTCAGTCTCGGGCTCCGCCTGAGCTTGCAAGTGAAGCACAAGACGGCTTAAAATTATTAGCCAACACATTTCATGAAGAAAAGGTAAGGAAAAATCTACAATATACAATGGAATTCAACCTACCCTGCGCTGGATATTGATCACTTTACAGAGAATCTTAGATGGGAGATTGAAGGAAGGCATCTGTTGCTCCAAACCTTGATGCATTGATGCCTCGAGCTGCATAGAAAGTGATCAATTAAATCCGTATATGTGATAATAAGATAAGATGATAAAATAATCATGTGAAATAAAAAAGAGGCACTCCATTTCATCTCTTCTATACAACAACAACACATGTTTTGTAATTTTATTTTTAGCTAGAAAGCATCAACAAGATGATTTGAAGTGTTATATGACATACAGAGTAAGAACAGTCCAATTAACATAACCGGTTTTAGCAAATGAGCATGATAAGGTAAATCACAGTCTCAAGTGATTCAAACCAATAACCAAAATACCTGCTCCATGTGACCTTCAGGGAAATAATAAACTCGTTCCCCTTCACGAGGTAGGGTTACAAGAGGTCCAGCACAAGCATGCCACAGCTCCCTACATAAAGCATCACTCAAAGCCCCTACAAACAAATAGATTGACTTCAACACAAAGAAACAAAGAACGGGTATAGGAAGCAACATTGTATCTCAAAAACAAAGCAAGGGTTGCAATTATATTAACAAACTGACTCCACTCAGTTCAGAATTTCCCCAACGTTTTAAAACCCTCATACAATTCTCAGTTAGTCAAAAAATCTAGAAAGGGAGTCAACAAGAAAAAAAAAGCAAACACACTTGACAAAATGATACAAAACCAAAAAAGTCCACAAACCTCCAGGTTCTCCAGATGGATAATTACTAGCTGCCACTTGAGAATCCATTTAATTTTGGAAACTTTTACCTGAGAAAATAAAAAGAAAGAAGAGAAACTATAAGATTGAAATGTCTTACTGAAAGAGTAAAGAAGATGGACCAATCCTCATCTAATTTAGGCAAACAAACTCTGATATATGTCATGATGTATCAACATTTAAACCCTTACTTTAAATTTACTGACAAAAATGTGGGCCATTTATGTAACTTTTTTACTCTAGATTGTGTCTTAAGCGAACACTACAAGACTAAGATTCTCAGATTTCATTACCCAATTTGAAGAGAAACACTCAACCAAAAGGGGGTAAAAGAAAGAACCATAAAAAGCAAAAGCAAGACAAGAAAATATATCATTACTTCACACCTTGCAAGACAAAACTGTCAATGTTAACTTCAGTGTACTACTTACAAATCATGTCTAACAATGGCAAAAACATTTCAACTCTGAACCTAAAACGAAAACCCATAAGAAAGCAAAAGGGGTAGACGATATTCAACAGACAAACAAGATCAGTATCGATTCTTGATCTAGATTTTGACCCAAGAATCAAATCCAGGTAGAATAGAGCAGCAAAATCCCAAATCTGACTAAAGTCTCCTCCTTTTCCAACATTTACTAAACAATAAGCAGACCCAACAAATAAAAATCGAAGCTTTACTTCAAACCTTTCGAAGACTCAACGATCTAGAGCGAGCTAGGTTTCGAACAAAACCCAGATGAAAAGATTTTGATTTGAGGGTAAGTGAGAATCTACAAGTGGAATTGCTGTCAAAACAGGAGAAGCGTGTAAGTAAAGGTATATACATACACCGTTTGTGTTTGGTTGAAGCCGAC